CAAAAAAAAGGGTGGGAAAAAATTAAATTAAATTAAATGTAACAAGTGTCAATAATTTTTTGTCGCCAAATTTCAATGTTGTCGAAAAAAATTATTATTATTATTATTTATTATATAGAAATATTAATTAATTATAAAATATAAATATATTAGTATTTAATTTAAAACAATATCATTCGCTTTTTTTTGTTAAAATTCAAACCTACGCATGAACTCACTCACTTTGTAAACCGTTAAAATAAAATAAAAAAAAACTTCTCCTCGTTTTATTTAACTTCCGGTTTAATAACCTTGAGTCCAGGTGTTTTGTTGTAAACAACATTTTGTGACGATTTTTATTATTATTATTATTTTTTTTATAAAATACATTTTGTGTAATTATAAAAAAAAAAAAAACAGAAAAAAATGTGCCGAAGTTTTTAAAAATATGAAAAAAAAATAAATTTAAAAAAAACAACAACAATAATAATAATAATAATAGAAAGGTTTTCATTCAAAATTAATGATTATTTTTTTTTTGATTACATGAAAGGAATAACAAAAATAAAGGTTTTTATAACTCATTCTGTATTATAATATGTGAATTTTACTTAATGTTAGGTTTATTATTATTATTATTTATTTATTTATTTATTAACAGATGAATTTTACAATGTATTTATTGGTACCTTATGCCTTATTCTTGTCAATTCGTTTTTTATATTATTATTAAAAGAGGAAACCGTATCAGGTAAAGTAATTCATATTTTAAATATTATATGTGTGTGGGTGCGCGTGTACTTTCGTCACAAATACGTCAATTAATGAAATGAAATTTTTAGATTACGATATATATATACAAGTGTAAATCAATCAGTACACGATAGCAAAATATACAGGGGAAAAAAATAAATAAATAAAAAATCGAATTGTACAAATGAAGAAAATAAAAATAAAATGATAAAGACTAAAAATCGCTGTCAATCAGCAAGAAATCATCGTAAAAATATAAAAAATGAAAAAAAATTACCGACTACGAGATCGAGGTCGGAATCACCGGTAAAAATATTATTTCCTAAAATGAAACCAAAATTATTATTAGCACAGGAAAAATTTTGTAAAATTCGTACGAAAATAGTTAATCAACTTGAACTTGTTAAAAATCTATCTCGAACGAAACGTAACGAATGTGAAAATATATTAGATTTAAGGAGACAATTGCAAAGAGCAGAAGAATTTTCAATTAGATTTTCCCGTAATAATTTATACGAAACTAAAAGAATAATTAAAGAAATAGAAAAAATTCTCACTTCATCTTTTGATAATATTCAACCACAAGAAAGTAAATCCCTGAGCAAAAAAATTATTTTAGGTTATCAAGCAGCTTCACAATCATTACAAACATATGCTAATTACATAAAAAATCCTGTTAATTTAGAAATACCTGAAAAAATAAGCGAATTAATATTATTAATATCAGAATTGTTTTCCTCTTGCAAATCAATATTTTCATCTTCAGAAGAAATAAAAAATCAAAATGACGCCCTAGAAATATGTAACGAATTAATAATTGTATTAAAAACGAAGCCCCCCATAGGTGAATACCTAGATTTGAAAAAAGAAGTTTTAATTAAAAAAAAACAAATTTTCGATCGTGAAAATACAAATAAATTTAAAAAATTATCAATGTACAAATCGAAATTAGTTAAAAAGAGTAAAACGGAATTTGGGGGACAAAAAAAAACTAATAATAATAATAATAATAATTTATTTTCGAGTTTGTTGGAAAACAGTACGAAAAAAATGTCTAAAAGCGAAGAAAAAAAAGCTAGGAAAACACACGAGATATACACTCAAAAAGCAAATTCAAAACTTTCTGGAAAATCATCATCGGAATTACAAATAAAAATAAAAGAAAATGGAAAATGTGAAAAATGTGAAAATTGCGATAAAAAAACAATGAATAAAAAATCAAAATTTTCAACTCCGAGAGAAGTTAAATCTCAAGATGATGACGTAGAAACTGTTGTTCAGACAATAGAAGACGATGAACCACCGGTAAGTTTTTTTTTCATACATACGTATTTACATTTAAAAAAAAATTTTTTTTTTTAATAAAACAAACAACAAACTCGTGTTTTTTTAAAAACTATTTATAAAGGGTATTTGTTTGTTTGTTTGTTGTTGTTGTTTTCGTTTTACTAATACTTCCGTCTTATTAATAATATCAGTATAAAAATAAATTTTCAATAAAAAAAAAAAAAAACGTTTTAATTACGTTAGTTGAATTCAACTATTGATTATTATTATTATTATTATTATTGTTGTTGTTTAAAATGTTTATATAACTCGAATATTATTGACCGAAACATAATATTGTTGGAATATATATATATATATATGTAAAAAAAAAAAAAAATATTTTAATTTCAATTTTTTCAATCCTTTTGAATTTAAAACATTTTTTCTTTTTTTTTTCTTTTCTTTTTTTTCTTTTCTTTTCTTTTTTTTTTTTTTTTTTTTTAAATTTTATTTTCTTTGTCTTGAACAATTAGAACAAATTGGTCGATCTTCGACAACTTCAAATGTTGCTTCCGTAACCGGACGATTACATTGCTGAAAAAAAAAATTAATAAATAAATAAAAGGTTCTTCTTAAAAAAAAAGGAAAATAAATAAATAATTTATTTTTTGTTTACCGAACATAAAAAACAATTTTGATGCCATTTTTCTCCTAAAGCCATTATGGCCGTATCGGTGATTGGTCTGCTGCAACCTTTGCATTTTGGTGCAAATTTTTGCATGTGACAATTTTGACAATAAGCTAAATTGTCCTTTTCGAAAAAACTTAAACCCGTGAGTTCGATACCGCAATCGTTACACGTAAAATGTTCCTGATGCCAAAATTGTTCCAACGCAACTATTATTTTCTATAAAAAAAAATTTTATTTTTATTTTCTCCCTCCATCAAGATTTAATAATTGATTAATAATAATAATAATAACTTCTTTGATTGGAAGATTGCATTTAAAGCATCTTTTTAAAAATATATTCGCATAACATTCTTCGCAAAATGGTAATCCTTTATCTTGATTGAATCGATCTCCCGTAATTGGTTTTTTACAATTGAAACAACTGAAATGTTCCGGATGCCAAGTTCTTCCCAATGCCGACACTATCTGTAAAATATTTTTTTTATAAAATGAATGATGAAAATGTAAAGAAAAACTTATAAATAAGATTCAAGTTGGGATGAATGAGGCGGTGGGCGGGAATTGAAGGAAAGGAAGGAATGGGGAGTGGGCGTGGGTGGAGAT